TTCATAATTCATAATTTTATTTCACTCAAAACGTAATGAGACTGGTTAGGCAAAAAGGAACATGTCCCTGTACAAGACGCCTTCCAGAGAAACAATGATAATGTTAATGACAAAGACAATAGCCCAAGTTATCAAATATTAAAATATAAAACATAATAATAATATAATGATGATAATAATAATTTCAATGTTGTTAATAATAACAATAACAACAACAACGATAATAATAATAATAATAATGATGATAATAATAATAATAATAATAATAATAATAATAATAATAATAATAATAATAATAATAATAAAATAATAATAAAAAGTAAATGATAATAATAATAATGAATGAAGATTAAAATATATCATTAAAGTGAATTCAGTTATTTATTAAAACAAGATTTGGAGGGCTGGACTGTCATAAAGGTGTTGTATTAATGATGTTCTAAATATTTGCTTTTATTATATCAATAATTGATTAGGTCTATCTTAGCCTATATTATTGTTAACATTATATTATATTTGTTTAACAATTAGTTTAAATATTTATTTCTAATTAAAATATTAAATGTATACAATATATATTATTTAGGCCTAGGCATATACATAAAACAAAAAATCAACAAACAATAATAATAATAATAATAATAATAATAATAACAATAATAATAATATTAAATAATAATAATAATAATTTTACGATAGTTTGAATAATGAAATAGTAATAATCAGCATATTAAATAAAATTACGTCAATGCAAAACCTGCTTTTAAATAAAAACGTTATATATTTGATTCTGTTTTTAAAAATAATCTTATAAATAATAAGTTTATTTTCTGCGATAATTTTATGCACATATATGCATATTCATGTTTTCAATGTTAATCTGGTTGATAAAATAATAATATATATATTAATATATAAAAAAATAATAATAACAATAATAATAATAATAGTAATAAAGGTGCTCGAATAATGCTTTGGTGAATAATTAGTAATACTTCAATAATGCTTCAATAGGACTATTTACGATAGTGTGATTAATGAGATAATTGTTGATTTAGTTATAGAAATATAATAGGTAGGCCTATATACCAATAATACTGATTCAGCATATTAAATCAACAAAATTACGTCCATGCAAAACCTGCTTTTTAAATAAAAACATTATCTATTTGATTCTGTTTTATAAAATAATCTTATAAATTATAAGTTTATTTTCTGCGATAATTTTATCCACATATGCATATTCATGTTTTCAATGTTAATATGGTTGATAAATAATATATATATATATAATAATAATAATAATAATAATAATAATAATAAAGGTGCTCGAGTAATGCTTTAGTGAATAATTAATAACATTTCAATTATGCTTCAATAGGCCTATTTACGACTGTGTGATTAATGAGATAATTGTTGATTAATTTATAGAAATATAATAGGTGGGCCTATATACCATTAATAATGATTCAGCATATTAAATCAACAATACGTCGTAAATGTTAAATTTGTTTGGTTTTTTTTCAATAAAATTTTACCTATTTTATTCTGTTTCAAAAAATATTATTAATATAAATAATAATAATGTATAGTATATATATATGTACATGTATATGTATATACATATGTATAGTATATATATATATGTATATATGTAAATGTATAAGTATATATGTATATGTTTATATGTATATGTATGTATATATGTATATGTATATATATATATATATATATATGTATATGTATATATGTGTATATATACATATATATGTATATATATGTATATGTATATATGTATATATATGTATATGTATATATGTATATATATGTATATGTATATATGTATATATATGTATATGTATTGTTTTGTTTTACATCTGTCTCTTATACACAATATATAATATATATATATATATATACATATATATATAATAAAAATATAATAATAATATATGTATATAATAATAATTATATATATAATTATTATTATAACTATAATAAACTAATTATTATATGTTTATCGTCGCTATTTCCATGAACCGACAAATACGAAGATCGCGATTGAAAAATTATTACTTTTGATGCCAATTTCTGACCTGATTAGTTGCAGGATTCTTGTATTTATTATTTAAAACATATTAAATAAATTGTAGTTATAAGGTCACAATGTTTATATCAATCTATTAATTAATTAGTAATTAACTAATTTAAATTAATTAAGATTATATTAATTAAGATATTCGTAAAGTTCTTGTGAAAGTTATTTACATAATTGCAGTTTATTTATAAGGCATTTCGACGGATATTCGTCGCCTCGTGTGGACCATCCTGAGCTCTGCTTACCAAAACTACGCGGTAATCGCGCGATAGTATTAGCATTTGCATACATGAAAACACTTTGGCGATGCTTTTGTTTTTTGTTTTGTTTTACATTTACATCCAGCGTTAGGCCCACTGAATTGTTTAAATGCATTTTATTGAAAAAAAACCCACCAGATTTTACATCTATAGACGTAAGTTGATTTAATATGCTGAAGCATTATTAATGGTATAAGCCTATACCTATTAAATATTTCAACAAATATCTCATTAATCACACTATCGCAAATAGTCCTATTGAAGTATTATTAATTCTTTATTAAAGCATTATTCGAGCACCTTCATTATTATTATTATTATTATTATTATTATTATTATTATTATTATTTTATGTATTATTTATCAACCATACTAACATTGAAAACATGAATTATGTGGATAAAATTATCATAGAAAATAAAGATTATTTTTTAAGACAGCAGAATAAATTAGATAACACATTTATTTTTAAAAAAACAGGTTTTGCATAGACGCAAGTTGATTTAATATATGCTGATTCATCTCATTAATTAAACAATTTTTATTCATTTCGAGCACTGTTATTATTATTATATTATTATTATTATTATTATTATTATTATTATTACTACTACTACTATTTTATTTTAAATTTTTGTGTTTTTATTTTTTGTTTTATGTATATGGGCCTAGATATAGGCTATGTATATATTTAATAATTAGAAATAATTATAATTTAATTGTAAAACATATATAATATAATGTTAACAATATTATAGGCTAGGCTAGATCGAACCAATTATTGATACCATAATCTATAGATAAAAACATCCATTTGATAATTAAACAGCAGCTTTTCGAGTGGCAGTGCCGATAGAAAACTGCAGTGTTTTAGCACTGCGGCAGTGCCGATAGAAAATCGGAGCTTTTTTCGCACTGCGGCAATAATGCCGATAGAAAATAACAGCTTTTTTCGCACTGTGGCAGTGCCGATAGAAAACAGCAGCTTTTTGGCACTGCGGCAGTGCCGATAGAAAACAGCAGCTTTTTTGGCACTGCGGCAGTGCCGATAGAAAACAGCAGCTTTTTTTCGCACTGCGGCAGTGCCGATAGCCTCAGCCAGGCCTAGGTGGTCACACGGAAGTTATGATTATTATACATCTTGATTCTAGGCCTAAATGATTTTTAGGGTAATTATATTGGAATTTTTTGACATATGATTATAATATTGTGATTAGTAAGGCTCGAGATCCTTCGGTTATTTACCACCACTGTCGAGCTAGGCCCTAGGCCTAGGCCTAAAGAGACAGGTAGGCCGCAGGCGCGCCCTATTTCCAGGCCTATTTAAGTACTTACCTAACTAGGCTAGAGGGCCTAGGCTACACCCGATGGTCAGCGCCTAGGCTAGTAAAGCTGATGCTTATCCTAGTGTAATGCCCTGTCCAGACTTACATTTAAATTTTATTTGACAAAAACCTGTGACATCAAATGCCTAGCACTTGCCTAAATATTAAATTATTATCGTAAAGGTGAACTCTGAAATTGAAGTGGCACACGCAATTTCAGCGTAAGAGAAGGAAACAATTTCCAAATGTGTCATTGAACACATTGACAAAGCATATACCAAAGAAGGTAGGGACTAATTTATAATATCTTCTTATATATATATATATAATATATAATTGATGATATTTTCATGATCTGGACCCATGGTGAAGATAGTTTGGATACATTCCTGTTGAACATTAATTCGGCTCATCCCACAATCAAATTCACTGCTAACAAATCCACAAGAAGTGTAGATTTTCTGGACATCACCGTGACCATGGAAAATGGTGCACTCAAAACTGATCTCTTCCGTAAACCCATGGATAAGCATATGTACCTGCTCCCTAGCAGCTGTCATCCCCCGCACTGTAAAAAAAACATTCCGTACAGCCAAGCATTGCGCATGAGACGCATTTGTTCTTCGGATTTAGATTTTCAAAATCGCACAGAAGAGATATCCGGACATCTCCGGAATAGAAATTATCATCGAGGACCCATCGAAATGCTGTAAAAAAAACAAAGGACATACCTCGTGCTCAAACACTGACGTACAAACCACGTCAGCGATCGACCAGAGTGCCACTGGTCACTACCTATCACCCTAGGTTTCCACCACTAAGGGCTATAATTCAGAAACATATGCCCATTCTACAGACCACAGATCGTCTTAGGTCTGTTTTCCGGATACACCGTTCATAACCTATCGCAGACCACCTAACCTTCGTGATATATTAGTACAATCTAAATTCAAGAGGCAAATTAACTCTTGCTACAGCCATAATTTGGGTAGTCATCTTTGTGGTTCATCATGCAAAACATGCTCCTTGCTTGATTCTACACAATCATTCAAGAGCAACCAAACAAACCACATATTTCGGATAAGGCAATCAATTAATTGCCTCACCAAAAGTGTCATTTATCTCATATATTGTAATATTTGTGGTAAACAATATGTTGGAGAAACAAAAAACACTCTCCATATGAGAATGACACAACACGGATCAGCTATCAGAACATCTAAGCTTGATCAACCAGTAGCCGAACATTTCAATTTAGCTGGTCATTCAATTTCAAATTTCAGAGTGATTGCAATTGACCATAATGCCAATTGGAGCGACAAAAATCGCAAAGATAAAGAGAATCACTGGGAACTTTTACATAAAACCACCACACCATTTGGACTCAATATTAGGAACGTTCTCCCAGTACACTAAATTAAACCTATGTCATTCCAAATTATTCTGGATAAATCATTTGGCTTATTCATTGAGGCATGCCTCTAAAGTTTAGTTTTGGCCTTCCTGTTTAATAAAGGCTGTTTATTCTAATCCCACCCAGCCTATTGTTTCTATGCTTGCATGAAATTCTCACTTTATACTATCTGGCTTTTTCAACCCTCACTCACTCGCCACTGAGGAAGGACTAGTGTTGTCCGAAAGCTCTGGTTCTATTTCTGGCTGTTTACTTAGTTTACTTTTTAGCTGTTGCTTATCATTTTTGTATCTCTACCGAGATCCACCCATTGTTTCCCACAGCATTGTTGTTTTTCAGTATTTTGTCTTTTAATCTATATATATATATATGTAAGAAGTGACTACCGATTACATCACATCAGTCCATAAAAATAACACTTTTTTTATAGAGTAAGAACCAAAGATCTTATAATATTACAAGATAGCGTTTTTCGTGTATAAGCAAATAGAAGCATCCAGTTCACACAGAAAACAATAGAAAGCAAAGACCTTATAAACACAAGATACGTTCTACACGATTTTACACATAACAAATAGAAGCTTCGATTTGGCAGAGGAAAGTAATCAGTTTTGGGAAAGGGCGTCCTAGTCGTTGCCATTGATCTGATGTAGGGTGTTCGCGTTACGCCAAATTTTGTTACCAAGTATGTTAATTTGTTCCTTATGTTCTAAGTAGAGGGCGCATTGTAAATCGTACGCTTCTAATTGTTACGCATAAATGTAAAGTCGCACAGCATACGCTATGGTCAGAGCGGTCAAGGTTCAAAAGTTTTCAATTTTGCAAGAGGCGCCGTTCATGCGTTAATACAGAATTTGTACGCGTAAATCGTGGCGAACACTATCTTGTGTTTATAAGATCTTTATAGAAAGTAATTGTAATTGAATGAGATCGTCCTAGCTAGTTGTTACTATGGCGGTTGTTCCAGAATTTGCGCTGAGATCATAGATGTCAAAGTTGAAAAGTAATTGTAATTGCAAGAGGGCGTCCTACACTGCGTTATTTATTACAGAATTTGCACGCAGAAATCGCGGAAAAACGCTATCTTGTTATTTTAGATCTTTGTTAAGAACCAGTAAAATTTTGGCCAGACTCAATCATCTTATTTTTTGGCCGATTTCAGGCTCAAAATGTTCTTATTTTGTTCTTATTGGTTTTTGAGCAAAACAGTTTCTTTTAACAGAAAATAAAGTTTTATCTGATTTCTGATAATGATATCATTTTGATTTGACATTTTTTCAATGCTCTTCATTATAAAAGCTACTGGCATTTGCCTACAAACTTTTCTTACAAAAACATTTTTTATTTTTTTTGTAATTACTAATATTTTTTTACCTCTGAATTTTCACAGGTCAAACCACAGTGTATAAAGTACCACAACTGGTAAAAGTTTATTAAAAAGAAAGTCAATATGGCAGAAGAAACCACAAAGGGTAAGCTAACATTGTTTTATAAACATTAACAAAATAATGCTGGTTGCATTCATTACTAGCGTGTATAATTATTCATATGGTGTGCTGTACTTATTTGGAATCTTCTATTTACTGACAAAAAATGTTGTGTTTATTATCCAAAAGGTTCCTGCACTCGGAGTTAGTGAACCAGTATTAGGCTAAAAAATAAATTGTTTGTTTGCCTTTTAATGCTGAAAATTGTGTAGGAGAGACATTTGCAAAAAGATGGAAAAGATGAAATGAGTTATTAATTACCAATGTAACACATTCAGTGATGGTGATGAATTAATGGAGAGGAGCATAGCCTCTCCATGAGTAGTGTGAGAGATTTGGATGTGAGCCCTGTAAAGTCACGCTGGCCTTCTATACTTTATTAAATCTGAGCAATCAAATCAAGGTATGTGATATCTTGTAGTAAAACTTTACACTAAAGTTAATACTCAGCAATACGTAAAACCAAAAGGTGCACTGATTAATCTCAGATAAGATAGTATAATACACACTCCAAGTATCAAAAAAATGCACGCCATCGTGTTGGGATTCAATATTTTGACATTAATTATGTCATCATCAGGAACGAAGGATTATCCATATTTGCAAGCTTTCATATGCACATGTACCCAAATTGTTGTGACCAATCAAAACATTACCCCTAGTAGGTGACAAAGCTATAAATATACTAAAGATCAAACACTTTTGAATGCTGTACATTTTGTGAATTTGTACTGTAAAACAATAAATAAAGCGATTGTAACATCAATCTGTATCATGGAGTGTATTTAACTGGCATTAAATCACCTAAACTACTGTATAAACCAAGCTTGTATTTACTGTAATTTATTTTGTTTTCTAAAATTAATGTACAGTGTATGTGACTGTATTATCTTGAAAAGAAGCCTGTGCCATTTTGAAAAGAAGCCTATGGGCTTTTTTTTTTTTAGAAGGGCTTCTTTTCAAGGCTAATTTTGCAAACTAAAAATTGGGAGGGGGCTTCAATTCAAGATGGGCTCCATCTCGAGATTAAACCCAGTAGGCTTCAATTCGAGGACTTACAGTATGTTTATTATTACATTTTTTCTAGGAATTTCCGATGAGGATTATCGTCAGCTGTTGCATGATATATCAGAATGGTATGATGGAATTGGA